ACGTCCTTTTAGGATCGTTATCAGAAACCTCCATCATTCTACCCTCAGTGCTGACATTTCGTCCGCATTGTCGGAAAATGGGCACATAGTGAGGCAAGTCCGCAATATTAGTAAAAATAAACGTCCTCTCCCTATCTTTTTTGTCGACATCGAACCCAATGTTAACAATAAACATATCTGCAACATCACTTCTTTACTTAACACGAAAGTAGCGATTGAAAAACCGAACAAAACGACACACGGTCCGCCGCAATGTTTCAATTGACAAGACTATGGTCACACACAAAATTACTGCCATCATCCATCGCGTTGCGTTAAATGCGGCGAGGCTCATGAATCAGAAAGCTGCACCGAGGATCAATCCAGCCCAGTTAAATGCGTCCACTGTTCCGAAAATCATACGGCCAGCTTCAAGGGGCGCCAGTTCTATCAAACCATATTAAATCACTACAAATTAAAGTCTTCAAATTCCAAAAAAAATATCACATTTACAAAAAACATATCCTCCAAGTCCCTTCCCATTGACCCCTCTCAATCTATCCCATCATATGCGGCTGCTACTTCGGGTTCAAAACCGAACATTAATTGGGAATCTGCAAAACTCTAATTTAAAATTAGCTCAATCAAAATTCCTATCCGATTTAACCTCCATAATTAAAGGTGGGTTACCCTGGCACCCCAGTGTTCGAATTTTTTATTATTTTTTTTACCATTAATTSTACTATAMTTTGTACCAATTTGTACCGTAAATTTCAGAATTTGTACCAAAGTATTTCCCCCGGAAAAATCGATTTTCCGCTGGGGTGCCAGGGTAACGTTACACCAGYACCCCCGTTGCTAAAAAATGGACTTTTATCAATTTTTTTTTTTTTTAAAAACGGTACAAATTGGTACAAATTATAGTACAATTAATGGTAAAAAAAATAATAAAAAATTCGAACACTGGGGTGCCAGGGTAACCCACCTCATAATTAATTCTTTTCTTTCTGCTATAATAAAACAACCCATTAATTATGATTATGATATTTACATTTAATATTATTTCTGTTACTATATACACTAATATTCCGTTCTGTTTACTCTTATCTGAAATCATTATCTTATTTATCATTATATCATTATATCATATGCTCATTATTATTAATTACCAATTATTACTTATTGTATCACTGTATCTATCAATATGTTAATTGTTGAACTATAATAGTTATACTGAAAGTTCTGAATAAAAAAAAAAAAGAAAACTAGCAATTTAAACAACAAAATAGTAGTAAACTTGTATTCACATATTATTATTTGTACTATTACAATAAAATTCTGTACCAACCTATTTGAAGTTTTCCAAATGTTACTTTATATTTTWTAACACAATACATTATAGAATACAGGKCAATTCGATAAATAAATGTAAAAAAATAAGATATTATGATGAAGACAACTACTTTTTAGCCTTAATACCTGAAGAATAGCTACTATAGCTTTTTATAGTTTTAATATTTGTTATCCTACATTCTTAAACGTTAAACCTAATTTATCTACGAATCATAATTTCTAGCCAAAAATCATGAATTTGATCTTCATACAATTTATTAAAATTAATGACATAAAATACAYTTTATACTCTTAAAAATAAGTATTTACTAATTACATATAAAAAATAACATATAAATGGTTATTCGGTATTTTTTTCGGTAAATGCTCCTAAGTTACCAAAYAACTCAGCAGGCACATCTTTTTTAGTAGGCATATCTTCGTCATCATTWTCTTCATTTTCTTTGTCACCATCTTCTTCATCTTCATCGTCACTGAATTCAATTTCATCTGGATTTGATACTTTTATATTTGGTAAACGATCTTGCTCACTACCCAAAACAAATTTGATAGGTTCCAATGGTTTCTCTTTATTTTCTAATGCTTTTTCTTCTAACAACTTCATTCCACTCTTTTCTGGTTCAACCGAAATAACAGACATCATTTGTGCTGACATCATGTTCACTTGAATATTATACATTGCTTGAACACTTCGTTTAATTCTTAGCATTTCTCGGAGAGTATCTTCATTACCATGAGCTACTTCAAATGAGGTCCAAGTTTGCCAAAATTCTTCAGTTACCCTAGGATCACAAATTTGACTACAATGCGAGTATATTGCTCGAGCGCGATCAATTTCACCTAATTTTGTTTCAAGTTCAGCAAATCTTAGATACATTGAACGGGCATTATTATTTGTCAAAACTTCCAAGGCTTTCATRTAAATTTCTCTAGTCTTTGGTATACCAGATATTTCTGCTGCTTTTTTAATGTAAATGTTGAACATTTCAAACTTCTCTTCAGGTAGAACAGCTTCAGTGGCTCTTTCGTAAACAGCCATAGCTCTTCTGCCTAAGCCATGTTTTTCTTCAAGCTTTGCATACAATAAATAAATACACTTAGCAAATTGTGGTGGGCAACCTTCAAGACACTCCTCAAAAAGATCACGTGCCCGTTCAAGTTTTGTACCACCGTAACGGTCCAAAAATTTTGTTAAGTATGTATTCCATATATCRAAAACATTTGGCCACTTGAATAATGCTACACCTTTTTCATAAGCTTTAAACATTTCTTCAAAATAGTTATTTTCTTCTAAAAATAATCCATAATTAATAATAGTTTGTGGAGTTGCGATTCTTAAATCTATAACTCGATCATAACAAGCCATTGTTGATTTGACCGTTCCAAAACTCTCTTCCATATCCAAATACAAAGACCATAATTTTAAYGATTTATGTAATCGTATTTGAACAGTTTCTGTGTCATCGTGATAGGCTACTTTCCGAGAAGGTATGGAAGTTGCTTGTCGCATTAGTCTCATTGCTTCATTAAAGTTATCATGTCTCAATTCCATTTCTACCCATTCACACCAGACACTAGCTAAATGCTCAACTTTAATATATGACACTAAAACAGCCTTTTTAAATACTARGCGTGCTTCTTCGAGTTGTTTGGCTTTTTCATAAAATTTAGCAAACTCCACCCAAAGTGTATGTAATCTACCAACAGCTTTTTGAGGATCAACTGTCTCCACAGCTTCAGTAAAAGTATTTATTACCTGAACGTCATTTCCTTCATAGAGCTGTACACGCTTTAACCATTCTTTAACATTGTGGGGGTTTTGTCTTAGAAGTACCGAGTTTAAAAGTAGTAATCTTCTTTCAATCAAGTTTTCCAATCTTGCCATCCGTAAATCAATTTCACAATCATCTTTCTCAGTACTATTTTGATTAGCATGAACAACTTCCATTCGTTTTTGTAAACTTAACTCTTCAAATTGTGCATAAGCATCATACACTTGGGTAAAATCACGAACTGTTGTAACAGTTTGAATAGCCTCTTCATATATATCTCTTGCTCTTTCAAATAATCCACTACGTATATAATAATCAGCTAAAGAGTTCCACAAATGACCAAGCTGGTCAGTGTAACGTCTTAAACCACTACGTATAATTGCATCAACATTCAATGACTTAATTTCTAAAGGATTTTTTGATATTAAATTACAAAGTTCATTCCAAAGTTGATGTTTAGATTTACCATGTTTAGATACAAAACTGTCATTGTTTACAATTTCAGACAAACGAATAGCAGCTTCATCGAGTCGTCCAGATGTGGTCAAGTATTCAATATAATCTTCCGAATCTTCTGGAAATAATTTTAAATATCTCCTATATATTTTAACAGCAACTTCTGGGTCATGACTTTCTTTTATGAATTTCAAATACAATGGCCATATTCGGKAATGTTGAGTGATTGGTAAAGCTCTAAGAGCCCTATCAAAGAGACGACGAGCAACAGTGAGTTTAGGCTGTTTCAACATGAATGTGCAGAACTCTATCCAGATGCGAGGCATCTTGTTCATGTACACCAATGCTCGCTCGTAAACATTGTTCACTTCTTCGTAATCGGGGTTGTCTGTAGTTTTTAAATACTTTCGACGTATTTTCAAGTAACAATGCCACAGTTTGTAGCTGCCTGGCAGTTGTTTCAAGGCGCGTTCGTATAGTACACATACTTTTTTGTACGGGCCCAGTTTGTAATTGTCTATGTACCGCATCCAACACTTCACAGAATTTGGATTTCTCAGTATATCTTGTTCAAATTCAACATCTCTCTTATTTAACCAATACGTCTCGAATATCACAGCATCTGGCTGTATCACGTTGACGTTGCTTTTCGACGTTGCGAGTTCCATTCTCATTTGATCTATAAACAAACGTTTTCAWAAATGTACATCACAATAATTTTAAAATTCAACAAGAGAATCCACGGTGCGTTTACTTACCAGACGATTCGACGGCTTCCAGTCGCACATTTACGGTAACAACGTCGGTGGGACAACGAACGAAACGTTATGACTTATGAATCATAAAATTTTGTAAACATTTTATAAAAACCTGCATGCATACGAATATACGATTGATAATGTTCTGTAAGTTTTGTCCGCGTTGTTTTTGTACCAGAAGTAAGAAACGTTTTGAAAACGGCAATGCCGAGTCGACCCTAGTTCTTATCACTTTATCAGTAAAATTAAAAGACATTTTTATCTTGTTCATTAAACTATTCACGTTTCAACAAAAATATCGTCTTTATTAATTATTAAAAATAATCGCGGAATAATCTGTCGACTGGATTCTTCACGTTCCGTCGACGTTCTAGGAAATGACTTTACAAAAAATGTTAAGGTTCCCMACGAACCAATTGTCTGGATGTAAGTGTGGAGAATTTTTTTTTAAAAACAAACGTTTAATAATTTTTATGTTCGCACATGCAATATACTGTTTCAGGTGCTGCTCTGTTACCACAAGTCAACAGTGTCCGAGGCATTAAGAATTTTAAGCCTCCAATTCTATATGAACGTAAAAAATAAAGGAGTTTTCTAAATTACTGATTATAGTGACATGTAATGTATGAATTATATACTGACACTTGTTTCAGATATTCAGATGCCAGAAAGGCCTAAGCTCCATTACATTGATAGGGTACCAAATTATAGTAATTCACAAATAAGACCTCCAAAAATGCATAAAATGTTGGATTTAATGAGGGGGCCTGAAACAGTTCATAACAAACTTATACATAAACAGTATGGTATACAGGTAAGCTTATGCTATTTAATTAAKTTCTTARAAGTTATTATTATGATTTGAACATAWTTGAATCGAGTACATTAGATAGTTAKGCAGTTACATTACTCTGCTTACATTTAATTTGATTATTTTCATAGGCAACTGGTGGAGGCCGAATGAGGTTTATACACTTTGAAGTTATTCGTATGGGCTTACTGAGAAAATTAGATTGGTCCAGAATGTTTGCTATTTGGAGAATTGATTCACCGTGGCAAGCTGTCACTAAAAAGGTTAATTATGCATATATCTAAGATTTATAATATGAACAAATAATGAACATGAGTGTACAATGTTACAGGGCCAAGGGCAGAGAATGGGTGGTGGTAAAGGTAGCATAGATCATTATATAACTCCGATTAGAACAGGCAGAATTATTATTGAAATTGCTGGTCATTGTGAATACTTAGAGGTATGTTGGTGTTTTTTTTAAGTTTAATTTACCAATTACTTCAAATATTAGGAGCAATTGTGTTTCGTTGACCTATATTCACTTTTAATATTAATTAAATCGATTATTTCACCATTTTTACTGAATTAAATTTTATCAAATCTGATAATTATATATATTATATTATGTAGGTATAATATGTTCTGTGCAAATACTACATTTGTCAAACTTATGTTTGATAAAAAATATTGTATTATAGAAACTTGAATTACTGTAAAACAACACAGCTTAATGACTTGAAATTAATTATCTAGTGGTTTGTGTAAAATTTTTATTATATGACTCGTGTCATTTTCGAAATAACCAATTTGATTATATTATTTATTATTTTTAAAACCTATTCTGACTTAATGTTATTATAACTTAATATTATTACAATATTTCTTTATTCATCTTAATCTTTTGTTAATTAGCAATTATGTTATTATAGGTGAAAGATATTTTAAGTAAAATATCTGCCAAACTTCCATTTAAAGCCAAAGCTGTTAGCCAAGAAACTTTAGAATGGGACGCAGCGAAAGAAAAGTGGCAGACTGAAAATAATCAGAATAAATATACGATGGAATATTTAATTAAAAATAACATGGATGATTTACAACGAAAAGTTAAGAAAATTGATCATTTATATTTTGGAAAATATGTATAAGATGCAATGTGTTAATAAGTCTAAAATTTAGACTTTAGATAGTTGAAACCTATATGTATAATTTTGATTTGTATAAAATATAATAATTTGTATTACAATTGAACAGTTATGTACTTTTGAAGAATTCTTTGTATTACATGCATTTACAATCTTATAAGTATAACTTATGGTGGCTATATGATGAGCATATATATGGCAAGTGCAAAACATATTACATAATATGTATTGTGCAGTAAAAATTACAAAATAACTATATACACAAAAAATTATTGACTTATGAATAAGGTTACAATTTAATAGAATAGAATATTAATCCTATGAATAGCTATATGCCCACATACATTTACTATAATAAATACTAAACTTTTAATACTAATTTGAAATTATTATTATGTCTWTATAAAAATGCTTTGATTTCTCACTTTAGTATCTTTTCTGATAGGAAAGTGAATCTATATTGATATACATGAGTTTATATAAGAGGTGTATAAAATTCCTAATTGTTTTCATGAATGTCTGGAAAACATAAAAATAATTCAAGATAAATAGGAATTTTTATACAAAAATAATTTTTWTTTTTTGGTGCAACTCAAAAACTAATAACTAGTCTGTAGATACTTCACATTTTTACCAAATGTTTATAAAACAATATTCCATAAATACATGGATCAGGATATAATAATTTTGCTTTAACTCAATAAAGTATTTAARAGTTATAGACTTATAGCAATATATCGCCTCATTTTCATCTCAATGTAATTTTGAACAATTATTAATATAATTTAAAATGTTTACTTTATTTGTATTAAACAACCTAAAAACATTTTGTATAACAAGCCTAAGTGTTAAAACTTAAGAGAAGGTAATTTAAGACTATTAAGACGACTTTCTACGATGCTTGGCTCATGGCTCAAGTTGGCTTGGTATCATAGAGTACCATAGATGTGTCAGAGAAATGATGACTTGGTAGTTTGGTACATATTGTGGAGCGACACTCGACTCGTCACATCTACGTTCCCGTGACCTTGGTTTTGTTAGGTTTAGTGAGGTTTAAGGGGACTGGGGCCGGTACAATGCTAGATGTACATATGCTAGCCATAATATGCGCTGCTTAATTTATGTAATACAATTTTTTTAAATTTAATGTTTGATTATTTCTAAAGTAATTTTTAAAGTTATATGAAGTATTATAACTTATAAGATACCTACTGCAATAATCGTATATTTTAAAGGCAATTTTCTTGGTATAAAATCAACCTCAAACATATGAATGACAAAATGGCACTTATTGTAGTTTATTCAACTGTTCCAGGGCTGTAACAAGAACTAGTAGTGCCCCTGGCAGAAAACTAAATTTGTGCCCCTCATCTAATGASGCTAAAAATAAAATTGATCTTTTTAATTTTCATATTTGATGAATTGATAATATCATTAAATGAAATTGCGTCCTTTGTTTAATTTCACCCTTGGCAATGCCCTCTCGTCAGTGCCATGAATTAAGATATCTTAATTCGTGGCCAGTGCTTATAGCTACGGCCCTGGACTATTCTAATAAACGATAAAATAAAAGAAAGATAAGTAAAATGCAAAACATTGTACTACAATATTATATAAGTATAATATTGTTTTTAAAAACATTTCGATTATGTAGAATAAAATATTCAACATAATATTATAGTCATATACGTAAATAATAATAAWATAATATACAATATAATAATAATAATATATAAAAATGTACTTTTGAATAAAATATTAGGTATGGTATATGTAAAAAAAAAAAAAAAAACAAGAGGCATAAAAGTGTAGTTACATTATTATTTTACTATAATAGGTAATATGATAAATCTTCACAGGGACCTTCACAATAATTACAATCATTCTAATAAATTACTATAAACTATATTAAGTACCTAATACGATTCTAAACATTATATCTGTGTGTGTGTGTGTGTGTGTGGGTGTTCATCGCTCTAAATCGTTTTCTCGTGACGTACTTAAATCACATGTTGAAGAATGCAGCAAAATGTAATATTATATTATTTAACCGTCAATAGTGGTACAGTTAAACTGCCGGTCCAGCCGATGATCGTTTGGCTGCGATGTTTCGCTGCTGTTTGGAGGACTCCGGTTCAGAAAACATCAATACGCCGTAAACGATGTTCAGGGCGGACGCGACCGCGAAAACAGCGAACACCCACCAGCCGAGGGCGGCGTGCACGTACGGATAGCACTTTATGACTGCGAAGGCGACGGTGTACCCRAACGCTAGGGCCACGTGTTCGCCCACCGCATAGCGTGGAACGGGCGAGTGAGGAACCAGACCGACGCTGCTGGACATGGAAAACACGATCAGACCCAGCAACGGGATGAAGCTCAACAGCTGCGAGCCGAGCCGGTTGAGGAACATCCGGCGGATCAGGTTGTAGACGGCGATGACGACGCCGGCCGTCAGCGTGCCAGCAGCCGCCAGTGTGGCCGACGATTCCCGGTGGTCCATGGCGGTGGACACGAGGGCGCCGGCCACAAGGAAGGCGGCCAATACGGCCGCCACGAAGTGGCCGTTGAGCACGCGCACGCCAGAGTCGCCCACCATTTGCGAGGCGAACGACACCAAAACCATCGAGCCGGACATTTGCTGTAGGGCCAAGTGTAGGGCTAGCGCCAGCAACGGTCGGTAGACCTCGGGCTGGTGGACTCGCCGGTAGATGGCCTCGGTTTCCGTGGRTCTGTYTCCGGTGCGGGTCGAAGGTTCCACACCGTCTTCCATCGCTCCAGCATTCGTCTGCCGCTGGAGTCTCAACCTGAGCCTGGAGTACTCGGCGTCACCGGTGCGACCGCGGGCCTCCAGCCACGCCGGGCTCTCTGGCACGAACGCCCGGACGAGAATGAATGATACGATGGTGACCACTGTGATCACGGCGGCCGTTTGTGCGTAGCTGAGCAGTGAACCGGCCAAGTACACGCATAGTACTCCGATGGCGGTATAGACGACCGGCCGTGCGGTGGGCCGCGTCGGGAAACACTCGGAACTGTGCGCGGTGGCCGCCACAGACACGACGCCCACGAACACGCCGGTGAGCGCGCGTCCCACAAGGAGGTTGGTGGTGGTCCAGCTGGTGAACGTCAGCATCCAACCGATGGCGCAAACCACGTGACTCAGCAGCACCGAACCCCTGGGTCCGAACGCGTTCATCAAGCTGTGAGAGATCAGGCACCCGCCTGCCGCACCCAGAGCGGCCAGACTAGCTGCGAACATGATTATTAATGTACTATTTATTACGAAAATTCCAAACAAACAATTACGATTTTTGAAGTTATAAATAGATGATATCGTAGTTTGAAGCAAAAAACTCTCAAATTGGTTTGGTATATATATATATTTTAATTTATAATATCAATCTATTATAATACTTATATTACTTATAATATTTAAGACCTAACCTAAAACCTTTATTCCTAGAACAAAACAGAGTACAGAAGTTTCTTTAAATCAAAAATGGATTGTTGACCTGCAACCGTAACTATTTATTGTTCGAATAAAATGTAAATAACTATAATGTGAAAATGTATCACAATTTAATTTCCTAACATTCCAGTTTTTGTACATGGTGAGTTTTGTTTTAAGTCAACGATATTATAYATTTATACCTACCTAAAATATGAATTGAGAGTTTTATATAGACAATATGTAATGTTAATATTACTTCATTATATATGTAAACAATTTATAGATTACTTTACATTTTATGCAATACATTTAGGTACACAATTTTAATACAAATATAAAATATTAATACAATGAAAATAATGTCGGTTTAAGTATGAGTTAGTGTAATTGTAAACGTAAAGAGTGACTGAAAAATAGTTCTAAATTAATAGATGTATGATGTATGAATAATTTGTTGAGTCTCTCTGCTCAAAAGCATTAATGACAAAAATCTCAATAAAAGAACAGTCGGTATTTGGATGGCTGGCTATAGCCACAATAGCTGGACTAGGTAAATTTACATTTTGTTAAATCAGTTGTACGTTTTATAATCATTATTATATTCATATATTTATGATAATAAATCCGATTCGTTCTTTTTACACCACATTATCGCAAATGTTGAAATATTATGTATAAAGTAGGTACAAACGTATAAGATGAGTATATAATGTTCTTAATTCTTATTGAAATATACGAAATTAAAATTATATAGAAGCTTAATTAGGTTTTATTTATAACAGCTAAATATCAATAAAATTACGTCGACTGGCGATCAATAAAAAATGACAACAATATTATAGTAGTGATGTAACCATGTTATGCAATCGGAGAATCAGACTGAGGAGTGAGGGGAGTATTATAAATATCGCATAGGCGAGAGTTAAGGGTAGGGGCATCAGTTTTATAGTGCATACCACCTAATTAGTTACCTTTTAATATTGTGACTCGTAAACATAAGGCTTTATTTTTTTTTAACTTGCAAAAATTATTGGTACTCATGTAGCATGCTAGTTTCCAAAAAAATAGTATTTTATTATATTTTTATATTTTATACACCTAATTTTATTATGGTAATGTGCTGGTGACTTGAGTTATTAAGATAAACAACACATATTATAATGGTGATGCTGGAACAATACATTAATCACTAAATAGCCATCGTGGTTACCATGTAAATATCCACCTCATACCACGATAACTAACTTTTAGTTGTATTATTTTAGTCTATGCTGTRTTCTTCCACAGTTCTTCCTATATACCTATGTATAGCTGTTACAAGTAGGTATATTAACAGATTWGTTAGACCGTAAATTAAAATATAAATGATGGCGGTTCATTAAAATTTAAAACATAACAAGACAATTAATTTGAAGTTTTCTGGAAAACAACACAACAATTAATATTGTATTAAAATATTTGATGGTGGTCAACAAATACACTATGTAAATTTTAGTTTGATAAATTGTTGTCAATTAATAATCACTACTCACTAGGTAAAATACGAGAAAGTATAAACAGCWGTTAAGTTTTTTGGTAGGTATAAGGTATAACACATCAATGAAGTAGCGATAATACCATACTATAGAGTAATATGTAACAAATTATCAAAAACCAAAATTTGATAACCTTCAGMAAATATACTATAGTCTGAACATCTGTATATATCTATATACAGTGTAGATAGATGCATACATATACATAAAGAAAAAATCTAATTTAATACTATTAAACTATTTAGACTTTATAGAGGTATAGTTTTTAGTGTTTTCARAATCAATTGTTAATTACAAAATATTTTTACATAGTGTTATTCTACGCTTTATTTTATTGTTGGATTATAATACCTACCTATAATTAAATTATACCTGAACATCACAAAATGGAAACCCACGTGTTACGTAATACATGCATATTTTAACATATTATAAGTCATAGATAAAGTTTGAATATATAAATCCTATRTTTATACAATATCGAACAAGTAAATATAGGTATATAATATATGTTTTAATTTTTCTGCGAAGGATAACCAGTAGGTACTTACGAGTAATRTAACATAATGARTATATAAGAGCTCGCAACATGAAAAAAATAACAATATAAAGCCATGATGTATATTATTATTATAATTTTGCTATTTATCGATAAACCGACTATGAAAAAATAAACAATACCTACCCAACTGATCGAATCATGAGCATTCTACTGACCCACTCATTATAGGGACAACAATTAATATTATATTATATAGATTTCAATTAGTAATTATTATGTAATACTATGCATTATTATGATGTAGTAAAACTTACCGAACCACGTCGCATTTCGATACGYCAGAGGCAAATTCCACATCGACACACCAGTAAATCCCAAAATGGACCCGGAAATCACACATGGTAGTAAAGATATTACGGATAAGAATCCCTGTAAATAAAAAAACAAAATACCCCCCACGTTCGTTGAGTATTATATTTAACAGTTTGTTAGTTGATTAATTAAATCGTTTTATGTATGTATTATTATAAAACAGAAAGAGAATCTCAAATACAAGAGGCAAAGTGTGGGTACTGGGTAGGTGTAATTATTATATTATGATTTTTGATATAATATCAAGTAGCCAAGTAGGCACTMGTATTACCTGCGTCATTGAAGAATTATTTAAAGGTTTTTGAACGTTTACCACTACGGGCGGTTCTGGTTGCGTGCTCGGCCCCGGCGCGTTTTCTTCCATCATAAAAATAATAAACTGAAGTAATTCAACGGGTTAAACGGTTTCAATAGGGTTACACTCGCATATAAAGTATTATATTATATTTAAAAAAAAATGTCGCCGGTATTACTCTGCGGTACAGGTTTTTATGCATAAATCACAATAATATTATTATTATAAATTTCAGTGTCGTTATAAAGATGTACGACGTTGCCGATGAATGATGATATAGGTGTAATAGCTGCAGGCGTAACGCGTTCGAGCTAATATAACGGCGCACTGAAGTTCGACTGTTCAAGCGTTACTACATTGCTACGATTCTCTCCAGAAATCCAACGTCATTTGGACGGCTTCAAACCGGTGTCAGATGACTGTACACATTATTATTATCATCATATTATTATGTTTACTTGTGTGTGAATATATATAATGTATAGGGTGCACTGGATACGCAACGACTTCGAGGATTATCACTAATGTATTATAAATTTATAATATTATAATATGTTTTTGTCGTTACTGTTTACTCGTAACGCATCCGATCAACAGAGTTCTCAATCGATGTGTAATCATCTTAGTATTTTATATGATTGGAATATTGAACTATGTTATCATATATTTTTTAATTATTTATACTCTCCACAGACGGAAGACATCTCATTTGATTATCTTCTCTTATAGTATATAGTAGGACGTTCATAATATAAACATTATTAGTATTACGATGCACGTACAGCACACACGTGTTATTATATTTATGAATATGAATATGGATCATAATATTCTTTTGGCTATTCATTATTGTTTAATCTCGACAACCAAGACAGTTAGTCTATATAACATGGGCCGGGGGTCACGTCTATTAAAGTGCATTTTTACAGCATCGTTTGGACCACACCTAATGCACAGGATATTTCTTGGTTACACTTAATATAGAGTACCATGTTGTATTATAATTATTTATTTATACGACCGCACAATCGGTTTGTTCATCATTTGAGTTCAAAGAGTGTAGGCAAAACATAATAAAATAAAATAACATATTATGTAATAAAAATAAAGAGATAAATAATAATTGTTTTTTCTTCAATAACAATATGGAATTCGATAATGGTACAAATGACTTTCAGATACAATCGAGTGAGATTAAGCCTCATAAGTTATTATAACACAAAAATGTATTATGGTCATTGGCCGTTAAATTTTAATTGATATAAACATACATATATTTTTAAGATCAATTACACGAAGCGCCTCTGAAGAAAAGAATCAGATCGGGTGCTAATGCTAGAGAACGAGATCGAACTCAAAGGTAAATACCATTTAATTGTTAGTTACCAATTAGTACTTACCTAGCTACCATAATTATTGGAACACGAAACTATTTATATTCTATTTTTGTTATTTATAGTGTAAACTCGGCTTTTGATGTTCTACGGGCCATGATACCTATTGATCCTCCCAACCGCAAACTATCTAAAATAGAAACATTACAATTAGCCACGAAATACATTAGTCATCTGTCTCAGATCCTAAATTCTGGTAAATATGTCTTAAACGTCATAATTTATTATCCTTATTAAAAACACAAAAAATATGGATAGATTTTTTGTTTTTATACATGAAAAACATTTTTCTTTATAGAAAACCGCAATAGACATTGTTATCGCAGAAAACAAATTAATAACTATAACCTTCGATTATATTAAACAATATGTTTTATCTATAATAAATGATATGATTTATACAAATTTTAAATTAGTTTACGATTATAAAGTACAGGATGGTAATCGGTAATACGATTTGTACGTGGGTGTCAGGTCAGAACTCAGAACTCGTGATGAATTTATTACGTACTTACAATAACTTCCGAGCGTGTCAGATTTTCATTATTCTAAATAGCGATCTCCGATCACTGTTTAAATGTTTGGAACAATGTTTTTACTTTTTAATATTTGAAATGCACCAATGAACTGAACCAAATAAGAACTAATAGTATACTATTTTATTTAGGAAATTCTATACAATTGTTATGTTGTTTCCGAGGAGGCTATGAGATTTTGTAGTACGGAAGTTTTTTATAATCGTGGATTTGTTATACCTATCATTATGGTTAATGTTTACAATACAAATACAAATCATTTGCTTTATTTAACAATTATTAATTTTGTTTTCAAGACTTAGACATTAGCGTTTTACTATAATTATATTGATATTTATTTTTATGACTTTGTCCTGCAAATAAATTATGTAGACATACAGTTATCAGTTCTAAATAATTAGTTAGCAATTTATACACAGTTTTATTTGTTAGTTAGTTCTTTTCTAACTAAGATTTTTAAATTGCTGCCATCCAACCTAACAATGTGTATACCTAATTAAAAAATAATAATATATGTTTCCCTTACACATGGAACAATAATTCTGGTCAGATATTTTTTTTTGCCAAATCACTTATGAGATGACATTATAGACTACTACTTTCAGAAGAACAATTGCTTAACTACTATTTATCATAAATTATAATATTAACCATTACTGTTTACTATAAAATCTGTGTAGCTATAAATGTYACTATCAAATATAAATATGTAATATACAATGATTTATCACTTTCGTAACACATATCCTGTTGTTTAGGAGAAGACAGTGAACAAGAACACAGTTTCTACGATGTATGTATATTTTGTTTAACAAATAGAATTAATTCTTGAATAGTACACAAAAAACTCTTTACACATTTCACCAAAATGTATTTATTATTTTATAACCTACATATTATGTATACTTATTTATAATTATGTATTTTTGTATTCATAAATTTTGTGAATTTAAAGCTATGTGTATTTACATTTACATTCAAATAAAAAAAATATACTGTAAATTATTATATATACATTTTTTAATGTGCACAGTAATAGAAAGCACAAACTAAAATAAACCAAAAAGGAACACTAAAAAACAAAACAAAATCAAATACAATCAGTTACTGTAAAAGGTTATGTAACATTTGGTTGATTATTTTATCTCCAAACAATAAATTTAATTTAAACACTACAACTTGACATTTCATTTATTATATCTTATATTATATTAAAGACAAATTACTTCTGTAATATATATATAATATTAGTTTTTAAACTAATTCAAGTTAACAAGAAGTATTATTTTTGCTACTTTAAGATAGCACCATATTTTTGGTAAAATTTCTATTTTACATCTATTTAATAGTTACTTGTAAAAAAAAATAAAATAAAAAAAACCAATTAAATTGTTTTTAATAATGTATTTTTCCATGCAAGAAAACTGTATCAAAAAAAAAAATTTAGTTTATAGATGAGATTGATAATTTGATATATTATATTTGATAATTATTATTATTGAACAAGGTTATTGATTAATAATAATAATAATAGTATAGTTGAGCAGTAAAATGTACTTTAATAGTTCAGTAATTTCATTATATTTCTTCTATTGTACAAGGGCCCAAGGGGTATAAAATCTTAATAAAAATCAATTCAATTAAACAGTTTTAATTGTAGTCTACATTATTATTTCCAAATAATCATAAGTTTTTAATCATTGTTTTTTTTTTTTTATATATATATATAAAAGATATTAATTAAAATACTATAATATTAGAAGAACTAATTTTGTTGAATGCATTTTGTGCATGGTATTTAATTTTATAAGTATTAATTCAAAAGGGCAATGATTAAGCTAATACCTATTAGTTTGACGGATTGATTTTGATAAGGGTGCTGCAAATACAAAAATATACTTGCACTTATTACTATTTTTTTTTTTTTTTTAAACTAGATGCTTATTATTTTATATCAAGCACTGATAACTTATTAGTAAAATCTTAATAAATTTTTTTAAATAAAACAATTTAATATAAGCATATACCTTAACCTTAAAAAATTTAAGTAACTACCTACATTAAGAATTTTTAAAAATTAAACATAAATTTAAAATTGTATTGCATTTCTTATATTATATTTAATTAAGTGCATTATTTTATTTTAATTTATTTGCATAAATAGACTTAAAATATTCATAAGATAACATTAAAAATATGAACTGGAAATTGCATACACTTAATAATTAGTTATATAATAACTAACATTACATATTACATAGTTACTAAACTTATAACTTTTATTAAATTACCATTTGCCATAAAATTGTGTAATAATAAGCATAAATTGAATATTTACATTTAAAAAAAATATATATGATATTATATAAATAATAGAAAAAAAAAAATAATATTTTTCTTCCTTTATTATGTTAAATAAAACTTAAACATACAATTTATTCATTCTATTAAATACCATTAATATTGTTAATTTAGTTAATTTACATTTATTACCCTTCTGGTATCAAGTAATATTTTTCTTTAAAGCATTGAAAAAGTTATTGCCTTCCTCGTGCAGCTTCTTCAAGAGCACGAACTTTCATTTCTCGCTCTCTTTGTTGTTGTTGCCTGAAATATAACAAAGTATAAGTATTGCCAACTACAACTGATACTGTTTGAAAGTCTGATCAAAAATTAAATATATAAACAAATACAACAAACGTATTTTTAAGAATTTATAAATTTTTAATTTAAAATATACTATGGAATAAAAATATTAGAATTATGTAACCATAGGCGCCCGCAGAAATTTTTCTAGGGGGGGGGCAATGTTAGGATTTGAGGATAAATATTATAATTTTACTAGGTGTTTTAAAATAATAACCT